GAGATGCGCTCATCAAAACGATATGTGTTGCATTTCTAATGGATCACTGAACGCAGAGATATTCAAGAAAATGTGTTAAATAATTATTTTTGGCTTTGAAGGCCATTATTTCGAGATCTACCGATCAGAATTTCGTGATATCTGCACTATCGTGTTCACCGTGATGCGCACATCAAAATGATATATGTTGCATTTCTAACAGATCACTTGACGCTGAGATATTCAAGAAAACGTGTTAAAAATATTCAATTAAAGCTTCGTAACCGATATATTTTCGAATTCTGGGATTGAACCAAATTGAGTTACACAAGATTCCAAATATAGATATATGGTTACACAAATTCTAAAAGGAAACGTTTGGCTATTGAAAAATTGGAAAATCACCAAAAATAAGTTACACAAAATTCCCAAAATGGTAATTTGTATAATATCAATTTACGTAAGTCAACTCGAGTCAACTCAAGTTGAAATGAGTTGAGTCAATTTATTGACTCGATTCGACTAATGACTCAACTCGAGTCAAAGGAGTCGGAAAATTTTTGACTCAACTCGACTCAAACTCGAGTCAACTCATTTGACTGATGAGTCAACTCGACTCATTAGGAGCTCTAGCAATACTTTAGATCATGATAATCAGTGATTAAATAAAAACAATCGTACCAGTGAAGTAAATATAATCAAAATTGATTTTTTTTAAGAAAAATGAACTTTGATTAACATTCGATATTTTAATATAGAAAAAGGCCAGAAGGATTAAAGGTGCCAATTCGCTTTTTGATTTAGACGATGAGAGAGTTTCAAAATATGATAAGGAAGAGTTATTAAGGATCTTGGGGGACAATCATTATCATTCCTCTGAAGATTCAGTGACTGATTCAGAAGAAACAAGAACACAAACAATTAATGTTTATAATCCAAGCTGGAGATCAAATGAGATTAGATACTTTTTTAAAAATTTATTTATACTAATTCTGATATTTAATTTATTAGTTGAAAGCATTGTTACGAGAAGTCGACCGTCATGAGTTCTCGCTGCAAACTATGCAATTAACGAGAACTCGACATTATAGTGATGATTTTACAATACATATTCGACACCCTTGAAACGCTTCTGACTGGACATTTGTAGATCAAAATACTTCAGAAAACACCGATTTTTTAGCATCAGTAACCGAAGTTGAAGGTGAAGATGATGATATTGAAAAAGAAGAATAAATTCAGCATATCATAATTTATAATGAATTTTATTTGATTCTTAGTTTATTTTATATATATTTGTATTATTATATTTTATAATTATATTTTATTATATATTTTATTTTATATTTTAAATTAATAAACCATTTGTTATTAATTCGATTAAATTACGTTATTATAAAATAAATAAATTGTCAAAAAATACGAAAATAAATATAATAAAATCGTCTAAATATCAGAAATTTTATTTTGCTGATTTTGCGATTACTTATAGCTGAAATATTACTGAACTTTTATTAACAAGTCGAATTTTGTTTGTTTTGTTAATTGAACGAATTTAAGTCGATTTTATTAAACATATAGCCGAAATATTATTGAACTTTTTATTAATAAGTCGAATTTTGTTTGTTTTATTAGTTGAACGAATTTAAGCTAATTTTATCAAACAATTAAAACAACTACCAATCGTTAATGTCAAATTTTTTTTGTGTAGCATGGAAATGGGCAACTTCAGTTATAACTAAAAATGCCAATTGTTTTGGTAATGACCGACAGAAATTAGACTATATTTCAGCCAACATTTAGCACTTTAAAAAGTGACGAAATGGATTATTTCGACTAGTGTAAGGAACCAAGAACCTATGGGATTTGATAGCAGTGTTGTCATGAGACATAGTTAAAACACTGATGGGATACATATGGGATATTGATGAGACACATGGAACATTTGAGTATGAGACATAGACGATACATATAGTTAAAACATATAGCTAGGACAGTAAATGCTCGAGACATAGAAAATGTATATCACTGTTTGATAGTATGCTAACTAATTTAAAAAATAAATTTATTGTATAAATCAATAATAAATTAATACATTATAATATAAAAAATTGCATATTTATTATCTATACCATCTTCATTACACATTTGGATTTTTTCAAATATTTGATGAATTACTTCTAATGATTTTGCTTTAAGAATTTCAAGCATATTATGTTTAGTATCTGAGCAATAAGAATAGTGATTGACATTTCTATAAAATTATAAAATTGTTAGCAAAAATTATATTGTATTTATTTATAAAATATAAAATTCTTACCTTTTATAATGAATACGATATGATTTAAATACATAACGCAAATGTTCTTTAGCTTTACATGTAGGATCCATTTTCTTTATAGCTTTTTCTAATCCCAATGCTTAAGCTTGATCTAAATCAACTAATATACATATCTAACCATCATTATGTATATGATGAAAATGAGCAGGTTTATTAGATAACTTCACAATTATCTCAAAAAAGGCTTCAAACATTTGTTGATATGCTTCTTTAGTTGCAATATTAGTAAAAATCTTACAAAATGTTAAAACTTATAAAAAATAAATTTGATTAAAATAAATAAAATTTAATAAATTAGTTAAATTTACTTGTTTTAGAAACATTTTCATATGCATTAAATTTCAATTTATTAATATTGCTATGAATACGTTTAAATGAAAGATCAACTTCAAAATATTTAAATTCAGTGTATTTTGCCGCTTATTTATTAGTCATTATATGACCATCATTAAAAAAACCTAAAATTACATATTAAGTTATTCTATATTATAAAATGAAAGTAAATAATAAATTATAATTAACATTGTTACTTACTAATTTTTGAATATAATTCTTTATTTCTTAAGTATTTTGATGAAAATCATATATTACGCCAAGTATTCCTTGACCATATGAATGTTGTTAGTTTTGAACTTGTGCAATTAAATATCAAAGCTTATCAATATTATTAAAAGATGCATGAATTTCAGAAATTATATTTGTTCCATATATACTTTTAAGCAAATAACCTAATTAAAAAAAACTTAGAAATAAAAGAAATTATAAAGAAATAATAAAATAAATTAAGCTAACCTGATACTAATTGTTATACAGTTATATCTATAAGCCAATCTTTAGTATTTTCAATAAGTTTTTTTAGTTCTGACTTTATACAAGTAGGAGTTTTAAATAATAGTGATGGTGGATGTAATAAATTCCTTTAAATATTAAGATTACAAAAGGAAATCTCTGTAAATTTAAAGGTGTTAATTCCATTCTTTATGTTAATCCTTAAAAGAAATAAACAGTATCTAACAAAATAATTATTAGTCTTTTTAATAAATATCATTATATTAATAAAAGCAAAATTACTTACCACAATACTTTTGATGGTAACCTGAAGGGTATAATTTATTGCAATCCATATCATCCTATAAAGTTAATAGAAATGTAATATAAATTAGTATAAAGTTATAAGAATAATATAAAAGTGTAATAAAGATACATACTTCTGATTTAGGATCCTTCCCTGATTCACAAAAAGTGATTTTAAAAGATTGTTATCTACACTAGCCTTAATCTGCAAAGACATATGACCTTTTTCATTCTGCTTCCATTTATCACATCCTATAAACTCACTCCATTGATTTGTAGTATGAACTAGATAACGTTTGATTTTAGCTTTACCATCACAAGTAAATGTATTATTTGAATAAGGACACTGTGTTTTTATTGCTGTTAAATATTCTCTAAAAAAATATTATAAAAAGCAAATTATTATAAATTATATAATTCAAAATATAGATTCTATAACTTACGTTTGAGTAAGTACCCTTGTAAGCCTATCTGCTGGAGTATTACTAGAACTATTTTCACAAATAAATGGATTGGTTTCAAGATCCACTTTATTATGTGATGCTTTCAAGATATTTGGACCAGCCAACTGACATGTTTTAACACCTCCGCAATGCTTTATTGCCTTTTTAACCTGAACCCATTTTTTATTTTCAGGATCATCTATGTCTTTACGAAAAAAATAGACATCCAACACTGGCAGAACCACCACTGCGATCAGAAAGTGAATATTGGATCTATTTTATTTAAAAAAAAATGTTATTTCATTTTTTTTTTGCAAATAACTTTAATATTCAAATTTACTTACATCATGAAATGCAGCCTTAGGATCTGCCCAATTTTCAACATGATATATATGTGCAATTCCTTCTTCTGAGGTCGCTGGATATTCAATTGGAACCAAAGAATGTCTAACATCTCTGATCCTGGTGTCTCTTGTAAATACTGCTATTTCAGACTCTATATCATCCTCAGTATCTGAATTGATTTCTGTTGCCTAAATAAATAAATTCATTTATTATTCTAGTACATTGTTTCTTGATAATTTCTTTTTAACAATTTTCATTTTTACTTGATTATTCAATTTTCTTTTCAACTTACAAAAGGATCAAAGTCTAACGGTTCATCCATTTCATCTAAATCCGTGTCAGATAATGTAGACATGATTATAAAATAATAAAGCGAAAGTGTTAAAGAGAGAGGGTTAATTTAAATGAAAAAAAATGGTAGGGAAATATTAACGTTAAAGAAAAAGATAAATCAGCAAAATCATCATACCATCATACATAAAATCAATATTTACGAAATGTAATTAATAATGACCGGGTTTACGATTTTCCATTGATTATTTGACATAACGGTATGATTTGTATCATACCATCATATGATTAATAGTACCTAAAGGATTAAATTATTAATGATATTTAGTTGTGATTATTTAATATGATTAGCATAATTTTTATCGTACCTAACATAATCAATCATACCTTACCTATCGAATCATATCATATCGTACTAATATACTATATACTCAGGGCTACACTTCTTTTTCTTTGCTGGGAAGACATACATCATTGATAAAATATTCACGTTTCACCATATAAAAGTTCGTATTATGTTTTCGTCTAATCAATTTTTTGTAACACCAAACATTTTTCTTTAATTGGATCATAAAGAAAACATCTAAATATGTAGTATGACTTTTTATTGAAATTTAATTGGTACAAAACGAATAAAAATTTACCGTACATAAATTATGTGCTCTTTAAATAAATAATTTGTACCAGTCAAACGCGAACTTTTTAATATGATGAGGATCGAAATAAATAATTTTCTATTTTATAAACGTCAGATTTTTTTTTTTTCTTTCTTTCTTTCTTTCCTCTTTGTTCTGTTAATAATTTAATAATATAATTTCTTTCATCATTTTGTGAAATTAAAACTATTAAGTTATTTTCCCTTCCTTACCTTAATTTAAAAAAAAAAACAATGAGAAATTCAAAGTCACAACAAACAAAGTCGTCTACTAGGCTTTCTACGTCATCCACAAACCCATCCAAGAAATCAGTTACAACGACGACGACTACTACAAAATCAAAACCTAAAGTAGCTCAAAAATCCTTAACTAATAAAGACTTAAAAATTACAACAACCTCGAAAACTACGACAACAAAGAATCTATCTTCTTCAAGAGTATCATCCATCAAATCTACACCTACTTCTACAACTAAAACTTCCCAAAGAGATACCAAATCCTCAAAAAATTTAACTTCATCTACGATAAAGACAACGAATAAAACTACAAAACCTACAACGACTAAAAAGAAATTAAAGGAAAAGCAACAAGGAAATGTTACAACAACAACCACTTCATTAGATTTGGCAATTTCAGATGAAGCAAAAGATGGTCCTATATGCTCCGAAATAAATAGTGTCATGAATGAATTAGAAAAATTCCGTACAAGTTTACATGAACTTGGAAGGGTACAAGAAAAGCAGAATGAAATCGTTTCATCATCTAAAAATTCAAATCATAATAAAAAATTATCTTCAGATTCGCTACAAAAATTACTCTTGGCGGATGGGATGTCGAATCAAGATGAAATAGTTTTGCAAGCTCACAATCAATTATCAGTAGTCAGACAACATATAACTTCAATGATGGATAATTACGAATCTTTAGATGAAAATTTATTAACAGTTATTATGACTTATAATGAAGAAGTTAATATAGCATTGCAAGAAGCATTGCAAGAAGTACCAAAATTATACCAATCACAATCTCAACTTCAACCTCCTTCCCCATCGTTATCTTTATCCTCTCAATTTACTGATGACTCCAATTCTACTCAGCAATTTATTGAATCTCAAAAAATACAAATACAATTTCTTGAACAAGCTAACTTTAATAATGTTTTTCAATTAACTAATGATATAAAAAAATGTCAATTAAACCTCGAGAAATTTATTAAATCAAACTTTAAAATGTATAATTTAAATTTACTTGAATCAAAAATCCTTTTACGTAAATATGACATAAAAATTAATTTAGATGATTTATATGAGAAAAATGAAAAGTATTCTAAAGTTTTAATATGTCAAGTATTACAAAGACTATTATTAGAGACAGTTTTAGAAAATTCCGATATTTATTTTACGGGTTCTTTACAAAATGTTCAACCTTCCTCCATTACAAATGATTTCGATGAGGAGAGTTACGGTTGTAATAATCATCCTCTCTTTCAACAAGTAACGAAAATTAATCCTGAAGTTTATGCTGTCTTGGGCTCAAATTGTTTCGATGGATTTGAACATCCTTTCATCGAATTTGTAGGAGAAAAATTGGTTGAAATAGTTGAAAAATACTTTGAAGTTAAACATGATTCAATTATGGGAAACAAACTTAATTTAGTCAATTTATCTAATGAATTGGTTTATGATATTATAAATGTTTTTTATTTTAGAATGCAAGCACAAGAGCCTTCTGCTCAATATCAATGGATGGAAAACGGGATGGCATTGGATCTACATCTCACGTCTATTGTAAATTACAATATTTATTGTAATAATTTTTCGTTACCAGGTGATTATGAAAATTGTGAACATAAACTTTGTGAAGAGGAATTCGATGTGGTGGGAGTTTGTTCCTTTCCGGTGATAGGTAAAGGATTAAAAAGTCAAGAAAAATTGGAGATTTACACTAAGGCAAAAGTTTTACCTTATTCTAAACTAAATCGTGAAATAAAATAGTCAACTTCAGAATAATCAATTCATTTTTTTTCTTCAACTTAATAATTTACATGTAAGTTTATTTATTTATTTAACGAATTTTGAAAGATCGGAAAAAAAAAAATATTATTTTTTTTTCTTGCATCTTAAAAATAGACAAAGATTGAATTAATTGATCGTTATTTTAATGTAATAAAGAAAATATATATAACTGTAAAAAAGTAATAAATGGATTAAATTTAAAAATTTAATAATATAATTAATATTTTAATATTATTGGGAATATTGTTATTGAAATTAAATAATTTCAGATGCAAAAAAGTCAACAAATTTGAATGTTTTAATTGTTTAGCAGCTCTATGAAAAATTTAGCAATTTTTAAGCATTAAAATATAGAAATTTATTTGTTAAATGATTTAAATAATTAAATTAATTAAAAAAAAAATTGTAAAGATTCATAAAAATTTAAAGCAAAGTCTTAATAATTAATTTTATAATTATTTGGATTCTTTAAAGTCAAATTAAAATTGAATATTAATCTCCCCTAACGGCTAACTTTTCTTACTACATAATTGATTACGTTTAAACTTAATTAAACTTCAGACTAATCAAAATTGATTATCTGTATTCATCATTCTGAATAAAAGATTTTTTTTGGAAATTTGTTGTTTTTTATATGAAAAAAACAAAATCTTATTTTATTTAACTTTTGGATAGATAAAAGATTACTTAAAAACTCATTCAGTTTGTAAACCACTTATTCCATCCCAGAATTCTGAAGGTTTCGGTAACTATAAAAAGAGAGATAAGTAAAGTATTAAATTTTTTATAATATTTTTAAAAAGAAAAAAATATTATTTACCTCTAATTCTCATTTAATTAGGATTCTAAGTTTCCAGAAGCTTTAGCAACTTACAAAAAAGTATTTTTTTTTTAATATAATTATTTTAAAAAAACAAATAAAATAAAATACTAATATTTGATTTATTTCAGGGTTTTAGAGAAGACTTTTGGTATTTACAAAAAGAGGTTAATATTAATTTTTTTTAAACAATATTTTTAAAATGTTAATTTTCTTTAATTAATTTAATCTAGAATTTTAGAATCTAAAGGGTTTCAATTTATTCTAGAATTTCATAGTGGGTTTTTTGAACATCTATAAAAAGAAATAAATAAAGCTATTAAATTTTTATTAATATTTTTAGAAACATTACTTACCTTTGATTCATTTAATCTAGAATTTTAGGATCCAGAAGGTTTTAGCAATCTACAAAAAGAGATAAGTATAAGGATTAAATTATTTTTAATTTAATTATTTATAAAATATATTAAAATACTAATCTTTGATTTATTCTAGGATTCTAGAGTGGACTTTTTAGACATCTACAAAAAGAGTAAGTAAATTTATTATTTTTTTTTAATATTTTTAAAAACATTACTTACCTTCAATTCATTTAATCTAGGATTCTAGAATCCAGAGGCTTTGGTAACTTACAAAGAAAAATAAGTTTAATTTTTTTTAATTTAATTATTTAAAAAAAATAATTAAAATACTAATCTTTAATTTATTCTAGGATTCTATAGTGGGCTTTTTAGACATCTACAAAAAAAGTAAGTAAATTTATTATTTTTTTTAATATTTTTAAAAACATTACTTACCTTCAATTCATTTAATCTAGGATTCTAGGATCCAGAGGGCATTGATAACTTACAAAGAAAAATAAGTTTAATTTTTTTAATTTAATTATTTAAAAAAAATAATTAAAATATTAATCTTTGATTTATTCTAGAATTTCAAAGTGAACTTTCAGCATTTATAAAAAGAGGTAAGTAAAAATATTAAAATTTTTTTTTTAAATAACAAATAATATTACTTAATTCTAATTTGTTTAATTTAGGATTTTAGGATTTAGACTTTAGCAATCTATAAAGAGAGGTAAATATAAGTAAGGATTTAATGTAATTATTTAAAAAAAATATTAAAATACTAACTTTGATTTATTTTAGAATTCTGAAGAAGATTTTTAGCATCCACAAAAAGTGATAAGTAAAATATTATTATTAATTTTTTTTTAAATATCAAAAAAAAACATTATACTTATTTAATTCAGGATTCTGAAGGGGTTTTAAAATTGAAAAATAAATTTTTTTTATTATCCCTTCAATAGTTTTCCTTCCAAATTTAGAAGGAATTATACATATACTTTAAAGTTAATTTTAAATATATTAAAAATTGGTTATTAAACTAATAATATTATTATAATAAAATTTATGATGTTTTTTAAGTAAAATCAAAAAAAAAATTATATTTATTAGTAACTTTTTAACATTAATTTAAATTCAAAGTTTTAAAAATATTTTAATAAAAGTATTTTCTTTATAAAAGCTAAAGTTTTTAATTTTTATTTATTTTTATAATATTAAAAAAACTTTACAAAATATATAAATTTATATTTAAAACATTTATTCA